GAACCACTGAAGCGTCGACCATTTCTGGCCAGCAACTTTCAGCGTCATTAAGCCGGTGCGCCACCGCGTCCCCTACCCTTATGCCTAGATCATATCTAAACTTTTATTTTTCGTAGGTCAACACTTAAATGGTCATAATTGTATCTTGGCATACATATAACATTGACACTTGATAAATTGCGTCCCGACTATAATTTGTTCTTCCAATAATGTCCAGTGACATGCAGACAAGAATAATGGTGTCACAGCTGGAAGCGGCATGATTATTCCACATAATTTTAAATGTAAAACATTTTCTCTGCTATCAGCTACAGTCTGAAGAAAAGAGTGAAATACCTTGCAGAATTCTCTAAGCTGCTCTTAATCTAATGCCCGCCAGATTTGTAGGATTGTACCTTCTACACATGACATAGAGATAAGCTATAGGGCTGTGCAGCACTGCAGATTTGAAAGGGGAAAGGTGCTTCAGACCGTGTGTCAGCACACCTTATAACTGTTGCATCTCTTCCATGGATTACACTGCTTCCCTCCACAGTGCAGCATGATCCTTGGAAAACATGGTAAGATTAACAAGTTGCCTACAGATGCTAAGTGGACACACATGTATGCACCAAAGCAGCCTCTTTCTCTTTGAATCCAAAGGGCTACACAGTCCTGATAAGCTACGGATCTTATTCTCTTTTTACATTCCATTCCAATATAGTATTTACAGATAACTGTGATAGTGAATCCTCTCTGTTCACTATAGCGCTTTGGACTGTAAGGGGAGGGCACATATGATTGGGTGTTTTTCAGTATAATAAAGTTCTGTGCCGATAAATAATTGACATGTTAGAATAAAGGACTTAGCATAACCTAGCAGTGTGAAGTAAACAACCTCAGTTGGCACCATGTGAAAGATGAATAGATGGAGAAATACACTGACATTGTATTAGTGCAGCCAGTGTTCATATAAGTTAAAGACTGACTTGATCTCACTCCCAGGGACTACACAGACATGCCTATAGAGTTTTTCTTGGCAGCAATATGAAAATGATTTGCCACTGCTTTCTTCCAGAAATAGCTTGAGTTCCTGATCTAACCTATGGCCTTGGGATTTTCTGGTCATCTCCCATCCAAATACTAATCGAAACAACCTTGTTTAGTTCTTTTTTGGATCAGCTAAGATTGAACTGGTGCTGAACCTGGTATAAATGTATGTTTATCCTAGCCAAAAAAAGGAAGCACCAAAATATCTCTTCAGAGGAATGGACAACTTGAGGGCAGTGTTATCCTGTATCTGTTAAAACATTTCTCATTGTTTAGATCAGACACATTTTTATGTCTCTCTTCTTTTATCTGATTCAAATACAGACATTATTACAAGGTAGCAAAATTTGTCTCCGGCACCATGCTTACCAAGAAAGAAAGGGTATCACAGTGATATAAAAGTTGATCCATAAATTTAAGTCCAGTTTTGCTGCTCTCTTTTAAATTTTACCATTTCTTTTATAGAAGAGAATATATGTAGCTCAGGGTTGAACTGTGGAGTAAGGACTCCACATTTCTTTTATGCATTGTGTTTGTTGTTGTTGTGTTTGTAATGGTTTCTTTTTACACCCCTGGTCTCGGGCTGAAAATATCTTTTTTCCCATTGTCAAGTATGTTTTAATAAATACAACTACAATTATATTTTTATATTTGGACCAGAGAGAACTGGATTTACTTCCTTTTTCCATTATGATCTTTGATGTCATATTTTCCAGCCTAACCTTCCTGACCGTCAAGCTGCCTTTTATGGGTGGTTTGTGTATTCAAGCATCATTTACTGTGATTGGTCTTTGCATCACCTATTACCAGGTGGCCTTAGCTGGAAATATAAGGAACTGAACCTTCTGCAGAGAACACATGTGCTCCAGCACTGAGCTATAGCCCCTCTCAAAATAGAGCTAGGTGATCTCTCATTAGCCATAGAACTTCTCTGACTTGCTGTTTTTATAATATTTGTTGCCACTATATTATCTGTTTTCATTTTGTTTCATAGGTTTAAATTATAAATTTAGATTATTTTATTGGCAGTTACTTCATATATTGTTTGGGGCAGCAGCACAGCGATGATAATACTAGTAGTAATAGCAATACTAACAACCAATAATAATGATAATACCTCTGCTTGTTTAAAATGTTTTCCTACAACACTGTCTTCGAGTAGATTTGATTATTGTCAAATTTCAAAATACGCCTATTAGTAATGGATGTTCTTTCTGTTACCAACAGAAGTTTTAAATCTGGAGGACGGCAATCCATCTAGTTTGGAAGATGTAAAAGAGGAATATGTCAAGATGTATTTCAACAATCATAGGTGACAAAATTTAAACCTTCTGAAAACATCCCTTTTAGGTATCTCAAATAAGCTTGTCAGCTTCAGAAAATAATTAAATTCCTATTCTATGAAATTTGCATAGACTTACAGTCTTTACTGAGTTGCAGAAACAGCAAGAAGGAAAATTAGTGTAATATAGTGTAAAAAAACTTTTTAACACACTGAATCTCAATCCCAGATTTCTTTTCTGCTTGTTTCTCTTTGTTACATTCCTTCCCAATGTGGCTTCTGTAGCCTGGTGTATTTCTTGAAGAATAATTATTCCAAACAAAATTTGTTGACTTCTCAACACATGTTCATGACAAAAAGTATGGACTTAGATAGTCCCTCCTTTTATTTTTTAGCATTGTATCCTCTTCAGATGTTTTGAGTCAGAATGGCACCACGGTCTGGTATGTGATTCAAGAACATGAGAAAACCACTGTAGAAGAAGATGCGAGTCGAAGGCTAACACAGTCACCCGCTACCTCTTCTCCTGATCTCATGGAGTTTGAACGGTACATGAAGTAGTGTAAGAGTTTCTCTCTTTGAAATTATTCATCAAATAAAGTTATATAAGGTTAAATTGTTTCAGTTAGTCTATACCTGATGAATGAAGACTTTTAGTAGTTTCTAGTAATTGCAGGATAGGAGAAAGTGGGTGTTATGTTTTCCTTTACAGCCTTTAAATAATGGGAGAATGTGTATCCTATAAGAGATTACCTTATTATTTAGCTATTGTATGAACAGCTTAGAGAAAATGTTCATATGTGTCAGGATATTCAAGTATCCTACTCAGCAAAGTAAGTATTCTTTGAGCTCAGTGAAAATTGCTAATATTTCTTGATGTAAAAATAGCTCCAAATAAACTGGAAATAAGTGCTTATTGATACGAATGACAAGTCACTACTTAATCTGAACTGCTTCTGAAAAATACATGTTCTGTTATCGTTGTTCTTAAATACAGTATGTACCTATCACATAGCATAATGTGTGTTACAACGTGCCACTTTTTTTCTGGGAGAGCGAGTGAGGGAAGCATTGTGGAATAACTATGGAATATGACCAGCAGGTGGTGCAAACATGCTTCAATTATATATCTTGAGGCATTTCCTAATTAACGTTTCTATTTTTTTTCTGAGATGGCAAAAATAAGTATAATTAATAAGGTTTTTTTAAAAAATAATCCATGACCTATATAATTGTTTTGTGATTTCTTGTCTCATTCCTTCCCATTTACAATAATACTTCTAAAGCAAGTATGATTACAGCTTTTATAATAATGCAAGTTATTCATATTCTGCAAGGTTTTAACGTGAATTTACAATGTATTTCTTTTCTAATTCTATTGTTAGTCCCCTAAATAATGTAAGAAATTAATTCCTGTTTTTTCAGTCAAATTTGATGGAGGTAACCTCTGAATTCAAATACCATCCTATAAATCACAATTTGTTTAATAATATAATAGAAAACAAAGTAGGGATCATGATAGAAAGTTCATATAAAAGGAATTCCTTCCTGGCTTGGTAAAGATCCACTAGCTTAAAGGTCCTATCTTCAATTTCCAGTTATAAAAGGATCGGATGATTTTGTAAAAGACGTCTACCTGATATCCTAAATAAACACTATAAATAAGAGCAGACAGTCCATCCATCTTGATGTTGGTCATCCTTTTCCATCCATTTGTTCCTGAAGTGAGAACTATGGATTGATTTGTACTATGATTCATTCGTTTGTTTTCCTGGCTATCCATGGTATTATTGAGTCTTCTCCAACACCAACGTTCAAAAGCACTGATACTCTTTCTGTCCTGCTTCAGTCCAACTGTCACATCTATAGTGTCACAAGGAAAATTATTGCCTGCACAGTTCTAATCTTTATAGATCACAGTAGGTGTAGTCATAGGGGAGGAGCAAGATGGTGATCAGGCATATGAATATCTTTTCCAGACCTTCATTGTTGCCCTGTCAAGTGCTAGTCTGTAGTATGTTTCTGGTTCCTTTACTGTTAGTAGTCAATCCCAAAAAGCAGAAGCTATCCACCACCAATTTTTTCATTGTCATTGTTTTTCATTGTAAAGTTGGTAGCTGTACCCGTTGTCATTAATTTGGTCATTTTTTGTATTTAATCTTAGTCTAATATATTTTGATTCTGGGCTGGCCAAGTGAGGCTGTTGAAGTTCTGTCCCAGTGCCTGGAGGCTGTGTGGGTTTGGATAGGGAAGAACAGTCTCCAAGTCAGTTCTATCAAGATTGAAAGGCTGGGGGTGTTTGGGCAGCCCCAAACTTGGGATATTCTATCTGTGACCTTGGAGGGAGTAACAGTTCCCCATTTAAGGATGGTGCACAATTTGGGGATCTTCCTGGACTCACAGCTTCTGTGCAACAAATTGGCCTTTTCCTAGATCAGAGGTCCCTTCAGACTCAACCTCACAACTTGACTGCAACATGTTCTACATAGGGTTGCCCTTAAAGACCACCCAAAAGTTTCAACTGGTCCAGAATGCAGTGGTGCAGGCAATGATGGGCATACTTTGCTATGCCTATGTGACACCTCTGCTTTGCGTGCTGACTGGTTGCCAGTTTATTTCTGGGTGCGATTCATGGTGTTGGTCGCTACCTCTAAAGCCCTACATGGCATAGGACCTGGTTACTTGAGGGACTGCCTGCCACCCATAGTATCTGCCTGGCTGATTCGATCTGGCTGGATTGGTGTGCTCTGGGTTCCTTTGATTAAACAGTGCCATCTGTTGGGACCCCAGAAGTGTGGCTCCTCTCTAGCAGTGCCTGCCCTCTGGAATGAGATTCCCCTCAAGATCCAAATGGACCCCACTCTACTGATGTTTCAAAGGACCTTGAAGACCCAGCTCTTCACCCAGGCTTTTGGCGAGGGTGAATGAAGTCCCATTGGATTATATGGGTTTGGTTTTTTTTCATTCCTGTCTGGTTCTTGTCACCTTTGCCATTTTTACTCTTTATTTTTATCTCTCGTTGTTTCTCTTGTTTTTAATGATTCATTTGTAAACCATCCAGAATTGCTGGGAGTCAGGTGGCATATAAATGTAATAAATTATTATTATTCCCATTGTTGTACTGTGCTCCTTGATTATCATTACTAGTGGTTGCAGATCATTTGCATTTTCAGCTATCAGAGTAGTCTCTTCAATATAGTTCAGGTTATTTATGTTTCTTTCTCCAATTTTTAAAACCACATTCATCTTCTTCCAGTACAGCTTCTCTCATTATATATTCAGCATACAGTGTAGATTGAAGAATTAAGGAGCGAATATATAGCCTTATCTTTTGCCAACTGGAGCCAGTCTGTTTCATCATATTCTGTGGCTTCCTGTCCTGTGTATAAATTTCACATGAGGGTGTGTATAAATTTCGCATGAGGACTTTCCTTGGTTTTCCATGTCTGTTTCCATCTTCAATGCCTTTATAGATATTGCTATACAGGTAGTCCTCATTTAATGACCATTCGTTTAGTCACTGTTCAAAGTTAGAAACAGCGCTGAACAAAGGGATTTGCAATCAGTCCTCACACTTACACCAGTCACAGCACCCCTACAGTCACATGATCGTGATCCGGACACTTGGCAACCAGCTCACAATTACAGTGGTTGCAGCGTCCCAGGGTCACATGATTGCCATTTGCAACCTTCCCAGCCAGCTTTCAGCAAGCAAAAAATGACCATGGTGGTTCGCTTAATGACTGCTGCAAAAAAGGTTGTAAAATCTGGCACAACTCGCTTAACAACTGCCCCGCTTAACAATTAATTTTCCACCTATTGTGGTCGTTAAGCAAGATCGTTAACTACCTCTAATACTGTTCCTTCCCTAGACCACTGAAATTTTTAGTTAATTCCTTCCTGAGAGTTTTGTCTTTCTTGGGTTTTGCCTTCTCTTCAAAAATTTCTACTGCCTGTTTTAACATCTAGTTTGGTTTCTTCTATTTCTTGTCCATAGACAGTCTCTTTTCACATTTATTATTAACAACTTATTTGATTTCATTCCACAGTTCCTCTGGCTCTCTGTCAATAAGGTTCAGGACTTCAAAGTTCTTCTTGAAAATGGTGGGTATATGTTCAAGATCATATTGTGCAACCTGGTTGGTTTTCTTATTTTATTTTAGCTTGACTTGGAACTTGCACATGAGCAGTTCATGATCTGTTCTGCAAAGAGCCCCTGGCCACATCTTTGCTGTTTACAACTGAACTCTTCCACCTACTTGTGCAATAATGTCAAATTGATTTTTGCATGTTTGATCTAGTGATATATATATGTAGGTGTCTTGGGTTGTTTGAAGAATGTGTTAGCAATGAAGAAATAATTGGATTGGCAGAATCTGATAATTAATTCTCTTGCTTCATTTCTGTTCCCTAGGCCATACAGTCCACTACATTTTCTCCTTACTGTTTCCAGCTTTGACATTCCAGTTTCCAACCACAAGCAGCCTATCTTGCTTGCACGTTTCAGATTGAGCTTAATCGTAAAATTTGTCAACCTCTTCTTCTGCATCAGTGGTTGGGGCCAAAAGTTGAGTAACCCTCGTATTAAAGAGTTTAAAGAGTTGTTCATGAAATCCAATTAATTGCATTGTACCAAAGTACTGTCTTTGCTACTTCCTTCCTGACTATGAAAGCAATGACATTCCTTCTTTGTTTTTCATGTCCTGAGCAGTAAACAATATGATCTTCTCACTGAAAGTGTCCAATTCCAATCTGTCTCAATTCAGTGATGCCCAAGATGTCAGTGTGTAATCAATTCATTTCATCTTTCACCATGCCCATGGTTTTTATATTCCGTGTTCCCAATTCTGTCTTTGCAACTTTGGGTTTTCTTTTCCTACATAGCAACATCAGCAACTAGACATCTGGAAGGTTTTAATCTAACTAGGTCATAGTTAAGATAACTAGGTTAGTTATCTGAAAGATCCTCAGCTCTTTCTTAGTAGCATATTGAGTGCCATCTGACCGGAGGGGCCAATCATCCAGCGCTACATCATTAATCCCTTTATCTTGCTTATTCATGTGATTTCTTTGATAAAATGCTGGAGTGGTTTACCAACTCCTTCTTCCCTATAGCATGAATCGATCCCTTTGGCTCTAGCATCTTTCTATATCATTGGTGCCTGATATAGGTGCCTGCTTGCTTTAGCTGGACAGCTGAAATTATCTTCATACCTTGGTGACCCTGCTGGGAGAACATATTCTTGGCATATGTTCCCAGTGTGCTTCACTCATCCCTCCCAGGAAGACCCCTGCCATGATGAGGCAGCATAGCAGGAATTATAATTTATTCTATCCTCATATTTGTTAGATTTCTACCCTGCCTTTCCTCCAGGAATTCAAGGTGGCATACTAAACATAGTAGTCCTTCCTCCATTTTTTTTCCTACACCAACCCTGTAGGATAGATTAGACTGTGATAGGCCCAAGTCACCCACTGAATTTCCATGGCTGAGGGGGGACTTAGAATATGAATATCCCAGATCCTAATCCTACACCTTAGCCACTGTGTCATACTTTGTTATGAAGTAGCTTCCTATTTCTGTATTCCCCACATAATTAGTCTTGCTTATGTAAGGCACTAAAGAACTACATCATTGCTCTGTGCCTATCAGATACCAGCCAGGCCACATTCTGAGATATGTCTCCTTTCCTGTTTCATTCCAGATACTTGTATTTTTACAAACAGACAATAGACTTGCTGGTAGATAATGCAGTTGTGACCCCAGAAGAAGTTATGCTCCCCGTGGTCTCCACAGCTGTTTCCCACCTGTGGCAGGGACTCCCAGAAGACAGGAGGGACAGTGTTTTGCAGTACTGTAGTCAAAGGCAGAATTTCATCTCTGACATCAAGACAGCTTCCCAAGAACCTGCCTGTACTGATGAGAGCAGTGTGAGGGACAGTGGAACCAATAGTCAGGAAGCCAGTGGTTCAGTAGCATCCACACCAGAGGAGGTGAGAATTGGTGTCTTCTGGGATTATAGTTCTACTGTTCTAAGATTTAAAAATGCTGAATCTCTGTACTTCTTCAGTTATAAAAGAGAGGACAGTATAATCATTTCTAAAATCACCAGGAAGTAGTATGGCTAACTTAGCAATAAGAATAGATCCTGACAATAAATTACAGGAATTGTTAAAAAATAGCTCCAAATCAAGAACAAAGGATTTCTCTAGCGGTAAATAAAATAGTGGCCAAAATAACCTATATAATATAATACCCTTACTGCAGCACAACCAGCATTTGGTCTTTTCAGAATGTGAGCTCATGCCACATCATTGCTTGATTCACCTGACCAGTTAGCTCATATTGGTGACAACTGAAAGCACGTTGTTAGATACCATGTGAGATATGTGACTGGTGAATTGGCTGGAAAAGTTACAAAGCCTCATTTATCGACTAGTATTTATGTGGTTTCTCCACTGAGTCCCTGGGAGATAATAGGCAATGGGAAAAGATGTGGTTGTTTTTAATTAAATAGGTCCCAGAGAAACTAAATCCTGTCTTAATGTCCTATGCCTGATGATGTTCTGACAGTATCTTTTCCTGTTAAACTAACAAAGTAGCACTTGTGGGGTGTCAGTTTAAATAGTTTCAGAAAAAGAACAGCTTCTAGCAAGAAGGCAAAGAGTAATTTCGTTCTTCCCTTATACTGTTTGGTTCTTGAGCAATCTTGGTTACAACTAAGCTCAGTGATACAGATTTGCTCAACATGTTCCAGAATGAGATGCGTGCTGAATTACATTTAGGGTCAAATTAGTGCAAATCAGCGTGTTTCTAGAAAAAAAACAGGCATGTTAAACAGTGACATATTCATTATTATTATGAGAAGGTTGTGAACAAATGGTCCACTTTCAAGGCTAACAGGGATTTGGAAGATGAAGCTGTCAGTAAAAATGACTTTTTAAAAATCTATCCTTTCTTTCTAAATAGAGATTATTGAACTGTAACCTCCTTAATAATTATAAACCATCATAAACCATAAAATAAATGGTCTTGGCTAAAAGAGATACAATTTTTTAAAATGTGAGTGCTGAAAAATTAGTGCATAACAATTATGCACATTGACCAGCTTCATCTTAGTATATTCAAGAGCTGCACTCCTTACTTATTTAGGAATCACTATAATAAATGCTAATCAACAGTAGGTATTTTAAAAAGAGAATTTTTTGTGTGATGCTTTAGGATGTAGTGTCCAAAATGCTTTCTCTTTTAGATCCTCTTTGAAGATGCTTTTGATGTGGCAACTAGTTTCCTTGATAGAAATGAAACTCAAGAAATGTCCAGTCAAAGGTAATGGTCTTACTCAGATAAATTGCTACATTGTTGTTTAAGGCAGGCTAGAAGAGAAAGAACTGTATCATGTTAATGCTCTGAAACATTAATAATTAGTGCCTAAAGTATTGGCCAGTTAACTCATTAGGCTGAAATTCAAGCACTCTCTAGTCAATTTATTGAGAGAATGACACATAATATGGGAGACATATTTTTATAGAACAGGGATAATGTGAAAGTTATAATCTTATAGGACCAGTTTGGAAGAAATAGTGTGATAATAAAGATTAATTAAAACACAGGGGCAGCCTTTTGCAAAGTAAGAGTTCAATGACATTGTCTTAAATGTCATTACAGGTAGTCCCCAGGTTACAGACAACCCATAGTTAAGAACAGAGCCTATTGTAGCAAAATTTGAGTTGAATACACAATGATTCAAGTTAAATACACAATAGTTTGAGTTCATTACACGATACTACTTATACAGCTTACATACAAATTCAACTTAAGGACAAATCTTGGGAACGGAACTTATTCTTAAACTGGGGACTACCTGTATTGAGGTACAGGAGTAGATGTTTCTTGTGAGGCTATAACTGACAAATAGCTGATGACCCACCAGCACCACTATTCGTAGTGGGTAGAAGTTCAGTGCTGTAGACATATGCTGGCCATCCAACTTGGATATCTTGCAATATATCTGAAAGGCTCTAATTTGGGGAATGATGCATTACTGTGATAGAGATGACAGGAAGAACTATGTTGAAAAAGAATGTACTAAAGAGAAGAAGGAGATTTGGAATCTTGAACTAGGTCAGAATAACTGTTTGCTCCTATAAGTCAGGGCTTCTCATTGCCTTGGTCAACCTTAGGCCATATTCACACAGCCTCCTGGCCCTACCACAAGTACTCTCTAATGGCACATTAATGCTCAGGGGGAAGGCAGTGTAAAATGACATGTTCCAGTTGGCTCCACAACTCCACAACTTTCCTGTGGGACCATACCCTCCTGGCTGGTCTCTGACCTCTGCCCCTCAATCCTCTTTTGGCTGTGAAGGTGATCAATCCTCCAGCTCCAGCAACCAGTTTTATTTCATTTAGTGGACAAATTGCTTGACCAGATGCCAGCATCCCCAAAGATGGACTCTGGCATGGCAGGCTGAGGGATAGTGATGCAGACCCGCTCAGGTGGCACCACAAGGGCATTCTTTAGGGACAGACTAATTTCAGGAGTCATGGTTTTCCATTAGTACTGGCACAGTATGAAAGCAAAGCTAGGCAAATGTGTGAATTTCCTCTCAGTCAAGCCTGTAATCATCCAGGCCTTTATATGCATTTTCTTAAAATAAAGGCTTGCTTTCTGTTCTACAAAATTGATAGGGGAGCTCAGCATAGATTATTTTGTTTACAGCTCAGCATTCACCGTCTGTGCTTCAGATAGCCAAGAGGATAACCATCGTCTCTACTTGCAGATCATCAGCTTCTTGAAAAACCTGTTTTTTGCTAGCACACAACCATCACAGGTAGGATTTTGCAATGTGCTTGGAACAGGCATTGTTAGAATCACGTTCATGTTGTGGAAGAACTGTAAATTCTGTCACAAAGTCATTGAAGCAGTTGGGTAAGCTAAAAGTGAGTAATGCATAGTCAGGATGAATCATTTCAAATCTGCTTTCAGGGTCCCATAATTATGTCATTTCTCAGCTACTCATAACACTTTTTATTTCAACTGAAACTGCCCTTGAGTTGGGCTTAAGTCTGGTAATTGCATGTATGTAGCTAGTCAGTTTTCTTGACAATAGTAATGAAAGGGTTTACCATTGCTTTGTGGGATTTTTTTTTTCTTCTTCTCAGTTTAGCCTACAGCCATGGAATTCCCTGGTGATCTCCCATCCAAGTACCAACCACTACCAAACCTGCTATCTTCCAAGCCTAGAAAACATCAGCCAAGTTCTGCCACCATTTAAAGAAATTTTCATTTTCTCTCAGACATTCTTTGAGTTGTAAAATGAGACCCTTCACAAATGCTCTGGAGAACTGCCATGATTAAACTGAGCATTTCTGGGGGGGGAAATGGGATTTCTTTATATAAAAGTTCTATCTCCACAAGTAGCATAAACAACCTGAAATTTGCTTGTAGTTGTTGAAGATCATGTCAAATATATATTCCATTAATAAAAGACTCATTCCCTGGATCTTTTTTCAATAATAATTTTTATTGAAGTTTAAAAATACAAAGATAAAATACTAATGCAAACTAAGAAAAATATAAAAAGCACAGAGAGAAATAAAAGGTGCAGACAAAAAGAAAATATATAAACAA